GGGACTTGAGTGTCCTGACTAAACGTCGAATCTAGTCCAAGTCGCTCGTGTATGATGGCAGATTTCCACATACGGCAGACACCTATCGGTTAGATTCAGCGGCGAGGCCATCCGTAATTTACAGGAGTCAGGGAGGCCAGATTCTTGAAAACATTTTCAAAACGCCCGATCGAACTTTAGCGTCGACGACGAAGCCCATTGGGCGCACAATGCTCTTAGCTGCAAAATCTTTGCAACTGGAATAAAACTTTTGCCACGAAAACGTTGCATTTTGTTGCTTATGTGCTCACACCAAAAGTCATTCTAATCTACTCTCATATTTTCACAGGTCACCGAATTTCATTATCCACTGAGGAAATTTACCTATGCCGGGAAAAGTCTGGCGGAATAATTTTCTAGCATCGCTGAGACTCCGGGATGCCCAGATGAGGCTCAAATGTTTAGACTCGTACTCTGAAGTCAGTTGGCTGTCTCTTTTAACAAACCAGTGGCACGTCACAGCTTTCGAAAATTCAATTCCGTTGTGCGAATACTGAGCGCTGCTGACGACAATGGGTGTTCAGGCATTTTACCGACGAGCGGTCAACGATGGTTAGACAGCCTGGATCAAGGTCAAAAGTGCGTTTTAAATACCACGAGACGCCTTATAAATTGAGCACTCACTTGCTCACAGTAAAGTTGTTATGTTCCTGGTTGACGAATCCTTTTCCGGGACAAAGGCACCAAAAAGGGAGCAACACTTAGTTACAACGACTGGTAATCAACTATGGACCAATGAACACATAATCCGGCAACATAGTTAAACATCCAAAAAACATGCGAATTTAAACACCTTGGTGATATTTGAGGGTAAGCACACTAACTGGACTTATAAGGACGTAAAGGCGACATTACTTTGAAAAATCCAAAAAGGACGACCGTTCAAACGAGAGTGGGGTGAATTTGAACAGAATAAAATTCCCGGAAAAATCCCATGATAGAATCCAAAAATGGGTCGAGCTAGCCTTAGAGTTGAATTAGAAATTAAACCATTCTTGGAATGGCACAAATAAGTGTTTAGTAGGTTTCCTGAAAACTTTCCGAGAAGTTCGTTTCGTCTAGACACTTTTTACTTAAACACCAAATGAAACGCATACAGTGAAATCTGATTTGATTCTCACAAGGGATCCGAGTGAAACTACTCTTCAACTGATTTTACCACACGCACACCACCCCTTGTTGAGTTCTAAACGTTAACACCGATTTGCACCTGAGTGTTCATAGCCCTATACGTTCGCTTTGGTGTTCAACTATGAAGTGACTAACAGAAAATCGAGAAGGAACCAAGGATAATGAGACCGGTATTTCTTGCTATCAAGAACAAACAGTACGACCTAACTCAAGTTATCACTTGCCACCAGGAAGGCCATCTACAACGGTTTTGAAGGAGGGATCACAGCAGCCACAACAGAGGGATGACTGCGGAGAAGTCGCCCTATAGCGGCCTCTGACGGGGACAATGGATAAACTCTACTTCAAGAAGAAGAGCGCTGTAGAGAGCACTATCCACGTATGGTCATCTATCATGAACTTCTAATAGGCCGGACTGGTACAGTTGGCCAACCGATCACAATTTGTATTAAGCCGTTGATGTTTGAAACATTCGAACAAACGAGAACTGACCACCATTTTGGTCCGATGGTTGTGCGGCAGTTTGGCGGAGATAAATTTCACCATGTTTCGATTCCGAAAACTTAAAAACATTGTAAAAGGAAACAGGAAGCATTGACTGACTCCTAAAAAGTGTGGTGCTACTGTAGACGTTCATTTCGATGGCGGAAAAATAAGCTCATTTGTTCAGCCAGGATTATCTTAGTTTAGCAGTGTAGTTAGACATTTTAACTCTGAAAACTTTGAAAATCAATAACTTGGTTGCTTTTTGTTGGCCCGTCTGTTGATGCTTCTTCCAAGGATACAACCATAACTGAGAGGGAATTATTACAGTTATTATGTTCTTGTGAGTACTTTATGAATGGCTGTATTCTATGGAATGCATTCGGTAATAAAAAGATGCTGTTTTAGTCTTGTTCTGTCCAAGTGACCCGCTCTCGTAGACCACAGGACGTGTGTCCAGGTGGAAAAGAAAAACTATGTTTTTCTCATCTCAACTTGATACCTCTGCAGAGGGAATTTCATTGAGGGAAGGCAATTTTTCTTAGGTCCCTTCAGGCAGTCCCCCCGATGAGGGACATTAGAGCAAGTCGAAATTGCCTATTTTGGAACTGTTACACTTTAGATTGTCCCAGTTTTGTGGTTTTTAGTTAGTCAGGTGGTAATTTATGTCGTCAAATGGTTCTCTAAGGGGTCCATAGAGCTAGAAAAAAAGGGGCTTTTAAATTACAACGTGATTAACTGTAAAGAACCCGGAGAAACGGCAAACAAGGATCGCATTCTGGATCAGACGTACACGCAGTGAGTTTGGCTCTGCATCTCTACACACGGCTCAGTTTGACCACGACCACAGAGGACACGTTAATGTAAGCAAATCGGTGAACGAAGTAACCGGTGACAGAAAACTCGTATAACTCGTATAACATGACGAAATAGACACCGGTCAGAATTTCATCCACGAGAAGTTCAGTTTCTCAACCACTCCAAGACTATGACAGAATGGAAACAACGACAGAGATATCGGATATCCACGAGAATTACCGTCACCTACCGTGCACCCCGTGACAACGCTTCTCATCGTTTGGATAGATGATGAGGGTATGAAGGTGCTATTGATAGGCCTCAAAGGCTCTCTTCATTAGAATCACTCGTGTGAATGTCAAACTTTTGTAACCGACCTGTATAGGTCAGTGAATATCACCAAGTGTCACCATTTGGAGGGCCCAAGTGCGGTCGAATCAAGAAAGTTCCCCTTTCGTAGTCCTTCCACCATCTGCCGTAGAGTGGAATTGGTTCCGGAATATTAACGGACAATCTGTGGTCGCAATCGAAGATATATTCTTGGGACTACATTCGAAAGGAAAATGGAACATGGTTTGACCCATATTAAAACTGACTAAACAATAAGCAGTGTTGAACATTATGGGTGTATGGTTTCAGCGCAGCATTGCGCGGTGAGCTCCAGCTGACAAAGAATGTAAAGCAAACGTTGTTGACTCTGAAGTTGAAGCTGCTTTCCTTGGACGGGGAAAATTCAACGACAGTCCAACTCCCAGAAAAAAGACTAGCCAATATCAAAGCCATCCGTTCGATTGTTTCAATTTGGGATAACCTACTTACCAACTTACCTACTTACCCATTTACTAACTAACTAACTAACTTACTTACTTACTTACTTACTTACTCACTTACTTACTTACTTACTTACTTACTCACTTACTTACTTACTTACTTACTTACTCACTTACTTACTTACTTACTTACTTACTCACTTACTTACTTACTTACTTACTTACTCACTTACTTACTTACTTACTTACTTACTCACTTACTTACTTACTTACTTACTTACTCACTTACTTACTTACTTACTTACTTACTCACTTACTTACTTACTTACTTACTTACTCACTTACTTACTTACTTACTTACTTACTCACTTACTTACTTACTTACTTACTTACTCACTTACTTACTTACTTACTTACTTACTCACTTACTTACTTACTTACTTACTTACTCACTTACTTACTTACTTACTTACTTACTCACTTACTTACTTACTTACTTACTTACTCACTTACTTACTTACTTACTTACTTACTCACTTACTTACTTACTTACTTACTTACTCACTTACTTACTTACTTACTTACTTACTCACTTACTTACTTACTTACTTACTTACTCACTTACTTACTTACTTACTTACTTACTCACTTACTTACTCTTACTTACTTACTTACTTACTTACTTACTTACTTACTTACTTACTTACTTACTTACTTACTTACTTACTTACTTACTTACTTACTTACTTACTTACTTACTTACTTACTTACTTACTTACTTACTTACTTACTTACTTACTTACTTACTTACTTACTTACTTACTTACTTACTTACTTACTTACTTACTTACTTACTTACTTACTTACTTACTTACTTACTTACTTACTTACTTACTTACTTACTTACTTACTTACTTACTTACTTACTTACTTACTTACTTACTTACTTACTTACTTACTTACTTACTTACTTACTTACTTACTTACTTACTTACTTACTTACTTACTTACTTACTTACTTACTTACTTACTTACTTACTTACTTACTTACTTACTTACTTACTTACTTACTTACTTACTTACTTACTTACTTACTTACTTACTTACTTACTTACTTACTTACTTACTTACTTACTTACTTACTTACTTACTTACTTATCATTTATTTTTGAAGAGCATGGTCACAAACATAAAAAGTGAGTGCAAGCGATGAATGCGAAAGAGTAACAGGAGAATATGGGAGAAAAGAGAGAAACGTCTCATTCGAGATCATGCCAAGGGCAGTGCCAGTCTGATGAGGTGAATCCCAAAGTATGTGAAGATTTTGGTATGGGAACACGCGTCTAAGGACCAACAACCCAAAGAAAGGCAAACAATAGTGAATGCTCTTCAAGGCGCAGTGTGCGCTAGCACACTTATTTGCGTGACTTGTCGCAGGTCCAAGCTACTTTATCAGGCTGAATTTTCGTCGCAACCCTCAGGTGTAATTTAGGTACCTAAGACCGAACGAGTATCGATGAGTTAAAAAATATTCAACACCTTTACCTAACCAACTCTCAGTTTCACGGAAAGAAGCAATAATCAGAAGCTGTTAGTATGTATACTTTTACGTTTAACATAGACGAAGTTAATCCATAGAATGTGCATATTTTCGTGCGGGAATACCAGCACAAAAACTAATTTGTGGAACAAAAGAAGTGGGAGCATTAAAGAAATGAATTCCTCCACATGTCCGTGCTGGGGAATTTTACAGGAATGGTGACTCTGTTTCTCTTCTTTGCAAGGACTATCACTGTGTCCACGTTTAGGGAATGTATGAGGACAAAACATCAAGAAATGGCGTGTGTTTTTTAGGTATATCAGGTTGTACGAAATGGGAACGCGTCCTTTCAATCACAAAGATGAATTTTCTATGGATTGCATATGGTTCTGAAGGATTTCTTCATCGACCCAGTTCCATTCCCTCGGTACCGTATATCCCGCGAATCCCTCTTGCCGAGTAGAATGATCATTTAGTGGGAAGGAAGAATTGTTCACACCGGTGTTCTGTCCACACAAAACAGGAGTCTGCAGTTTCGTCGGCTTTCGGTATCTTTGCTCTCTTTTGATCAAAGCCCGAGACTTCCCGATATTTATCCCGTTTTTCTTATAGGGATTCATAGATTTATGGTGACTCTTATCAAAATGACGACCCAAATCCCACTTCCATTTGTAGGATAGACCGCATATGATACACCGATGGGGACGTTCTTTAGAGTGGACCATGATGTGCTTTTGCAATTCTGTGGGCCATTTAGCACAATAGTTGCACAAAGGACACGGGTATCCGTTAGTGTTCATTGATCTGGCCAGTGAGTGAGACTCCATATCCTGAAATGGAGAAAAGAGAACTATCAACAAATACGCTCATTTGCATTTTCACGGGAGACTCAACTGAAGCTCTCGTTTATGATGTTCCTTAACTGAATGTGCTACACACAGGCCGTCTCATGTTTCAGTTGGTACGATATTCAAGATATCGCAGTATATTTTCCTCACAAGGTTGCCGAATATTTTCAGCAACCTTGCAAGTAGTTTCCTTTATTAGCATTTAGACCAGTCGAAAATTGCCAAGAATAAACAAAAAATGTTAAATTGGGTAACTAATCTATCACAATAAATAACTTTTACTTTCCACATCTAACTGTATCGTGCCAACAAAATCCTCCCAGTAAGATATTCTCACAGAAAGATCAGAAGATGGATGAGTCAAACAATGGCTCTATCTTTGTCCCTGTTGAAAATTTGGTCCATGATATATTGTGTGAGTTTCAAATTTGGCTAAGTCCATTCCGAAACTACGTCACCAAGTGAAAGTGAGCCCACCATCTGCGACTGCTGCACAATCAGTGAGTTGGGGTCAACCCTTGTGGCGGATCAGCTGCCAATTTAGGTATACTGGACTTTTAATTTTGTGTCCGTGAATGCAAAGTGCACTTTTCCGTCCCAAGCCTGTGTAACAGTGGCTTGTTTCACACTAGGTTGTACTGCACTGTCCACCGTGATTAAGTGATATTGGCTTATTTAGTTTGGCACAAAAACGATTAATTTATGGAGCGTTAAATACACAGTGAATTAGAGGGAGTCGTCTTGAGAGATTTCTACAGATCAAAGAATATGAATGGTAAGCCAGCGACTACGAAGGTCTGAGAAAATGAGTGATTTTGAAGGACAGCTAATTGATGGGGATCAGAAAACAGAAAGCCGAGCTGTTTAAAAACCAGATATGAAAATGCTCTGGCTGGTTAGCCATCAAGCATCTGTGGGTCTTGACTTGTTACAGGACAATACGGGAATGAAAACGGAAGACCTTAAAAGTGACAACTCCAGATGCACAGGACCATAGATTGCTAAATTTATCAATCCGAGTACCGTCGTCATAGATGAAAGTTAGTGGAATGGCGTTCTTGGGAACTCAGATGATGAGCAAATCGTCCGGCAAGTTCTACGGTTTCACCCTCAGGCGTGTCACTTTGTTCGTGCCACAGGCAATTGCAGTCCATGTTTCAAGCTTTCATTGTCTCCTTAAAGTATTATCAAACATGTTTAGAAACAAACAGGAAATCATCTGAGATGAAATCTTTGAGTTGCTGCGATACATTTTAGGCTAACTGTTCTTCATTGGCCGAAGTAGAGTACTAGGCGATCTGATTGAGGTGCTTCGAACTGTTGACCACATGTGAGCCATCTGCTTTGAGAGGATAACATCGTACGATGGTGGAATTGAGAATGGATATCTGAGACATACAGTTTTCCGTAAGAATACATGGTCTACTTTCCTGTGCGCAATGGTCGTTGGACTATTTGGTGCATATTTGACCGACCGGGTTCTTCTACTCTATCTGAAAGAATACCAGCAACAATGTGACTTTCACCTTCCGTGAGACAACCCCATAAGAGCTGTTTTGTTTGCCACTGTACCTAGATAAAATGAGACTGTGGTCTGGGTGCCCAAGAAAGCTCATTGGTTAAGAGGTGCAAGCTCACTGATCGGAAGGTCCACAGTACGAACCCGGCCTCTGCATTTCGATTGCTCCTGTCTAGGCTCGGGAAACCTGACAGTATCCCAGCCCTCCTGATTCCTTCGGGTAGCTGGGCAGCAAGGCCCCGAAAGGATGTTACAGGTGAATGCTTAACGAAAAAGGCTACCTTATAGACAATTTAAAATAGGGGACAGCTGGAATAAGCGCTATAATTCCCGAATCTATTCTCACAGCACCCAAACAAAAGTAGCCACGAAGGTTTTAATGATGTCTGGCCACCAATCGAAGGGAAGATACATGTAAACAGGGGCCTTGTCCGCCCCAGACCTTAACCTGTCAAAAAAAGTTTCATCCGCGAAAGTGCTGCCACTTCAGAGGGAAAGATATCAAGGAAAGGTCTACGTTTATATTATCATATGCGGGAGACTTCAACTTTGCTGTCCATAAAGATTATCAAGCTTGACACGTAAGGTCTAACGGAAAATGCGATTCGCCGTGATGAAGTTCTTCCTCACTTGGCCAAGAGGAGACGCAGGAACTCAGTAACTCTTTAATAAAAATAATAATAAAAACAACATGTCTTAAACCGGGACAAGACCTGTGTGAATTTAATGAGTGACATTATCACTTAGATGAGCTTTGTGGTTGTGGGCAGCTGTGAGCCTACTTTGTGTACTTGGTCTATGAAAACTAGGCTGATACCGAGCCGTGTATTAGGCTTCATCCAGGATTGTTGTTGACCCCGGGTCTTCTGAGTTCACATTGCCGTCCAAATTGACCTGTGAGGCAAATGGTGAATAGTAGAAGTGGCTATTCTGCACATTTGCCGTTTGTTTGGACTATGTACGCAGAGGAACATTACAGAGACTGAGACAGTTCAAGGTTAGAACTGACCATTTGTTTGCCAGGAGGGAAATGTGGAATCATTCATTGAATAGAAATCACTTTTACTCTCACGCAACCAGGAGATCGATAAGCAAAGCTAGTCATCAAATGGACTCCATTGTTCTTTACTAGACAACACGATACTTGTAAAGACGTCGCTTTTATCAGTGAACAAAACCCAAAAAACCACGTTAAAAAAGAAGGAGCAATGTCTCATGATCTATGAGAAATGTGTACTGTAGTTCAGCATACATTTATTTCTTTGCGTCTTCGAGTCCAATAACTTACTGGAAAGTAGAACTCCTCGATTGCGTGAGACTTCCACGACTTAGTTCGTTCCATTTCCTCCCGAAGAATGCAAGCGTGCTCGGAAACAAAATGAACATTCAGTTCGACCAGTGTGGGAAAGTGCAGTTTACACTGATAGCACCTAGTTACTGGTTGTTTGCCCGGACCAGACATTGTGGTCCGATTGACTGAAGTTAGTTTTGGGTGTCCATGATCCGTGGTCCTCTCTTGGTCAGGGCAGTTGTTCGGAGTAGATTGTCCGACCTGATGTACGCTGTTGGGCAAAGCACGTTTGCCCATGACCCACAAATCCGGAAGATAGTTCTTTCTTGGTCGATTAGTCTGATTTACAGAACAGAAGGTACTGAGAAGCTGAAAGGGTGTTGGCGAGGCCTCGCAGTGAACCCGGTTTTGTCTCACTCCAGTTCCAACAGTTTCGTTCAATACCTGTTGCTCATCAGTTCTGCAACTGCTTGAATCTGACCGTTCATGTAGTTTCTGTTTTGATGGGAGTGTGCAGAGAGCAGTGGCATGGATTCGAAGGTCCAAAGGCATTTCCGGATTGACCGACGATGCATGCACTCGAGGCAGTGGAAGTTGTCTCGGTTTGTGTTTCATTCGAGAATTGATTTGAAGCCATGAAAGCAACAGCCAAGGCGGAAGCACTATCCCCATTTCGAAAAATGCATATTTCGGTATAAGTAAGCCATCTGGTGTTGAGAAGGTTGATTCTGGAGCAGTGTTTAAACTTTTCAAATTGTACGGATTTAAACACCACGTCGGTGGACTTGTCAACGTGCGATGTTTGGTACCGTTCAGCCACATAACACTTAATCTGTAGGTCAGGTCAAGAAAAGAAAAGACTTCCATCAAACAAACACACTTGCGATTGTAAACAAGCGTTAGCCCTTTACAATATAAAGACCGTTACAACCATTCGGCTAAACCAGGTGCGGTTTATGAGCACCACTACACCCCAAGGTTTCCGCACCTCTTGGATGTCCATATTGAGATAAGAATTTGAAGAGATATCTCACAGTCAGGAAGACTGCGTTTTCAGCTTGCTTCAAAAGTTTATGCAGCCTCCACATAGACCCAGGAAACCTAAATTGTCTGTGGTAGTAGCCGCTACAGATCAAGAGGTTGACCACGGCTGAAGAATCTAATTTTGTAACACTTTGTGGCCAATGTCATCCTCACAACTACCAAGCGTCTTGTGAAAGCCATGTGGAACGACGTATTTGAGAACTACAATTTTATGGAACATGAATATCTCGATGAGAAACTGCAACCGTTCAAAAACATTTTGCTGTTTGCATAATTCGCACCGAACCTAGAAAGAATCAACTCATTTTATTTCATTTGATAAAAACCCTGGACGTCCTGGACAGACGAATGAACGGCAAATTTGTGGGCAGTAATGAGAACAGCCTTAGAGAAAAGGGGACTTCTCCAAAATACGTATAAAGCGCTGGACATAAATAACTGTTTTGTAAGCGGATATAAACCGCTCCAGATTCGGTGCAGGAAAATATGTGGTCAACCCTGGCGGTCTTGGGTTCGAACCTGGTCTCTGCATCTCGATTGCTCCTCTCTAGGCTTGGGCGACCTGGTGGTATCCGGGCCTTCGTACGTTCTTCGGGTAGCATGACAGCTAGAAACCGAAAAAAGTATTACAGCAGAACCGTTTTTTTTCATTTTATTCTTTAAGTGAGTGTATTTTTTTAGGCAGGTCCCCTGCTTCGAATGTACACAAGATAGATTTCGTCTATGCCATTCTTTGTTTATTCCCAACGTTAGAGTAGCCAGAAAACCGGATCGTTCCGCAATAGGTTTGATCCAATTTGGCCGCATACTCCCCAGAGAAATTACCAACTGCCGCATACATATCGAAACAAAAATTGGGGCCGTACGGAATAAATGGGGGAGGGCGATTGGGTGAGCGCCAGAGTAGCAAATGTTGTAAATGTACAACTTGAAAACTTTTCCACAATTGCTGCTATAATTCAAGGATGGCTTTTGTAGAATCGATGGGTCCTGCAGTTAATAAAAAGGAACTAAGATGCGCCTGGGCGGGCTGACAAATTAGTCATGATTTCTTGTATTCATTAGGTGTGTACAGTTATCGGTAGTGGGTGCCATAACTCCTATAAGAACAGCGCATGGACTTACATGAATCAGCTGTGTACGCACTTCACGAAACAAAGGTCTTGATAGCTTTGGAAACCCATTCCCTTATTTGCCTGGGAATTTAGCCGAATATGAATCGCACAACAGTTGTTCACTTTGCCTATTTGCGCCACACTACTCATAAGGTTGCTGAAAACTCTTCCTCAGCGCACGACTGGTTTCGCACTTTTTGAGCTAATCAGGCAGGCTAAGGCCCCGAGTTTTCGTCGACTTTATGCTATCATTAAGTCCACTTAGTTGAGTCGGATCATCACGAATGAGACATCCAGCTGGATTCATTTGAATCTCTTGTCAAAACCAAATTTGTGTGCAACTGAGAGTATTTGTAGAAAGTTGTTCAAGTTGTACACAACCGGCTGCAAAGAGATGACAGTATTCCTTTGGTTCAAAAATCAGCCGTTGCATCCTATTGCTTCCCTTGAGGACCGCTCGGCTGGTAGTTCAACCTTCTGCACGATAAACGTTTCCACAATCATCCGAGCCATATTCCTCAGAATCTAAACCCCTAAGATTTTCTTGGAACGTCTTCAGACAGTCATTGAGCGAAAGTTCGAACGATCGTTGTGTCCATTTTGCAGTGCACTTGATTTGTTTTTTAAATTCTCGAAAGTGAGGCTCTTTTCGACCATGGAAATTATAAATAGCAGTTCTGGTGCGCAGTGGGAAATACGCAATCTCCACCGCCCATTTTTGCCGGATTGTACACATGTAGCCATGTAGGTGCAATCTACCGTCATGTAGGTCCAGAGCATTTAGAAACAAATCTGGCACAAAATAGAACCAAACAAACCCTGTTTTGTCAACCAGCGGCATTATCATGGTGAATCTTACTTTGGTAGCTATGTCGCGTGTAGAACTGAACCTAACTGCTTCGCAGAGATCATACACTAGGTGGTGTTTTTTCACTAAGTGGCATTTTGAAAAAAAGGTTAACTTTTAGGCTAAAGTTGTCTCGTGTGCAGAACGTCTGGTCAAAGTTCAACAGCTGCTCATAAACTATTCACAGAAAGCGATTATCCAGAAGCAACCCGATTGGCTACTTTGTGAATGGTTATGTTATACGACAGTCAAGACCCCTCATCATAACCAAGGCAGAGCGCGTGAAGTCCCATAGAAGAAAAAAACCGATTAGTGGTGAGGTGTGCTCACTTTCAAATTGAGTTTTTAACTGGAGATTTAACTGAATCACAACTGAATCTCTGTTATATGGTATTCCTGTTTAACTAAAGGTAATGCCCAAGGGTAACTTTATGGTTCCAGTGGGACGATATTCTAGACGTAAAAATACGTTGTAACACATTATCCAAACTGAATGTTGTAAACTCCTCCAAAGCTCAAGACTTTGGACTCATCAGTTGGACACGGTCTCCTAGATTTTTATCAATGTCAAGTTTTACTTGGATATATTAAACGTTTATGTTAGCACGGACGTACGTAACTTTGTGAAGGATAGTTTTCCGAAAAATGACTGATGGGTACTTGTTTTTGAGGCAAAACGCTTCCCTCAGTGGTGAATCATTCAGCAAAGAAACCCTGTTATAAGCTTCTGCTAATCACCGATTGAGTCGTGCCATTTTGTATGAACCCGTCCAGGGACGGAACTACTCGGCTGGTACAACACGAGTCTGACGAGGACGTGACATTAATTTAAGGTTCTCACATGAAATGTGAAGGGGTGTGTAACTTTCAGGACGTTTATCGTCACATCGAGTCCACTCTCCTTTCAAAAGAAGCAAAGCCGTTCTGAAAACTTTATCCGGTTCTGAATGAAGTGATCGAACAGCCTAAAATGAAAATTACTGTGGGTTGTGGAAAGTAGAAGTTGGGAGGGTGGAGTCATCCAGTGTTTCTTGTATAACTTTGTCGAGAAAGCGACAGTGCTGACTAATCTCAGGCCTTCACCATCCTCCCCTGGGTTCCAGTAGGATCCTTAACTACATGCATTATACAGTGCGAAGACCAATAAACAATAGATAGTTTGTAGCATTTCCAGAGAAACTCCCAATGTCGAAGCGCATATTGTTACAATAACTGTAATTTTTACAAATGGATGACAGTGATATTGTGTGCAGGCAATTTATGAGAACATGCAAAAACATCTCAAATAGCTCACTTTAAGTTGCCTCAGCTTTGGTAATTTCATTTCTCACATGGTTTGTCAAAGTCACCATTTAAAAGAGATCAGTTTCCTCTGCTGTGAAACTAGACCTGTGGCAAATACATTATATACTGGGAAGTATGATATTATCAGGGACACTTCCCCAATCTGATCCAGCAGTCTGGTGTAAGTTGTTCCTGACTAACGATATCCTACAAACTCAGCGGAAGGCACACTATGATTAGTCCTGTCATCGATGCGTTAGAAGCTGGCACAGTAATATGAGAGGAGTTTAACGCTGAGCACGCACTCCTGTACAAGGATAACCTATCATGGATAACCTGGAGATATGTGGTCATGAGAAAAATGGTTGGTACACATCAAGGTCCTATAAGCAGCACGGACAACACTTACGAACTTTTGATGATAGCTCCAATTCCCTAGGCCATGAGAAGAACGAAATTCACAGCAAGCCGGTCTTTTTCTCTCTCTCTAGAGTGGCATTTTCGAAGTACACAGAAAAGATGGAACTTCAGAGTGAGTCTTGTCAGGCCTTGGTATTTCTTTGACGGGCTTTCCAGCACTGACTGTTACTTCAAACAGCAGTAGATAGCATAAAGTGCGACGTCTTAGATGCGAAGTGGAGAAGAACATCGGGGAAACTCTAATAAGTAGTTAACCGTCGCCACACTACCCTCGTTCAAGCTGACACTTCAGCTCACATTTTCAGCAAACCGTCTGTGGATGTCAGTTTTCAGATACAATAATAACGCTCAACCTTGTCCTAACAAGGTAATAATTAAACCCGGGTAAAAATCACCTTGAAATCAGAAAGCGACCGATAAAAATTTTTTAATCCCTTTGGATATTACTTACCAGGAAGATAAATTCGGGTGCAACTAAGGGGAGATTACAAAATCCGTAGTTTTTGTCACTTTTCACAGCCAGTTTGCTGCTGACAGGCTTCCAACCACCTGAATCCCACCCCTTCGGATAGAAAGCCATAGGGACAGAAATTTAACGATTGGCTGTCTGCCTGAAATGAGCAGTCAGATTTATCTATGGTTTACTGAACAGCAGATATTTGAAACGAACACTCCTGAGAGTGGAAACGGGCGATTGGGTGTTTGAGTACGTGTTTGTGTGCAGGCTTGTCTGTTGTCCCAACAGGAGCGTGAAAACAGTGAGGTGGGACTAGAGAACAAGTTGAAAGTAAGGGGGAAAGAGGGAACGCATCAGCAGGTAGATAAGGCAGTGCATGCTGTGAGGGACGAAAGGAAATGGACGAAATCCAATCAAAACACGGTTGCGGTATAACAGTCCAGGTGCTGGCGAATGAGGTTGGTTGAAGGCAGCCACTGCGTTGCGTTTTTCTAACCAAAATTGAATGTGAGTAGAGTGGGAAATTCAAATGAAACTGATCGATAGTTCTAGTAGGCACATATACAGCATGAAAATGAACCTTTAATGGTAGGCAGCAGGGCGATCCGTGATGATACTTTTAAGATCTACGAGTAAAGTAGCAAAATGGTTCGGG